CCCCCTCCCCCCAAAAAAAAAACCCCATTTTCCCCCATGGCGTTCTTGTTTGGGAAAATAGTATGCTAATTCCAACTAACTACGAATGGCTAAATTGTTTTTTTTTAATGAAACAAGTAAGTCTTGTTAATGCATCTAATTTGATAATTTGTATGCTAGTTTCATTGTTTTTATTTCATTGTGTGCTAGCTATAATTTTATTTTTTGAAACAATTAAAGTTTTTCCAGAGTAACTTGGTCACGTCCGGCAAACCATTTCTGGAAAGTAGTACGCTAATTCAGCTACAGATGGCTAACTTATTGTTGTATGAGAAAAACTTGGGCTTTTTTGACTTGTAAAGAAAAAGGGAACAATTGGGGTTTTTTCAAATTGCTTCCTCAGTTGAGTGTTTCTTTTCTTTTTTTCTGAAACTTGTTAGCTAGTTCCGCTACGACTGACTAAAATTTTGTCTTATGAAACAACTAAATTATATTTAGGAGTTGCTTTTCCTTTCTTTTTTTTCATCAAAGGGATGAAATTATAATGCATGATGGGATTTTGAGATAGTAAGCTGATATGGAAGCTCTTAATACCTCCAGGTGTTCATAAGATCAATTTGTGGAATCATGGAGGATTTTGTCCCTGCAAATGATTTAAGTGATGTTAATTGTCTGTCATTTACCCAGGGATTTTGATGCTTTGTTAAGAAATATATCTATGGTGGAACGTTAATCCTAGCCAGTCAATTTCGAAATATACTCAAATGGATGGCTTGGGTTTACCAGGTGCATTCTTTCCATTCAAGAAATAGTCATTTGCTAATGTAGCTATCAAGCTGTTCATCTCGTATCTTTCTCTCCATTGTTGTTGTGGTGGTGGAAGTGTTAGTGATATCTAGTTCGGTTTTCTCCAGACAAGGAAGATAACTGTTGTAATGCATCTTACTTATGGAGGTTCATGAGTCATTAATTGACCTGTCTAGGTTTTTCTTTGTGATACACATGATGTAGTATGAACTTTATTAATTCCATTTTGGAAATGTCTTTCATTCTAATGTACTTTATTTACATATTTTCTTTTGTCTGCTTGTAGGAGGGAAGGCCATGTGAGTGGTTTGAAGCAGAGTGAACAGATAATATATTAAATTTCAGTGGCGATATTAGTTTGGTATTGCTGGGAGATGGTTAAACGCAAGGGTTGTGAGAAACTGGGAAGAATGGTGAGGGACAGGTCTGGTAGTGCTTACCAGTCTTCTCTTCTTCAGTCCCCTGTTGTTTCTGTTTGGGATTGTATTGTGCGCAAAATGAGGTATTCCTATATACCTGAGTGGGTGTAGCTGCAGTTTTAGTATTTTGGTTTCATTACAGTTTTCATATTTGGAATCATTAGTTTTTTGCTATAGTATTAATAACAAAGTATAGAAGGAAACGGAAATAAATAGTTGTAGAGATGGAATGTGCTAAAGCTTCACCTGCTGTTAGAAAAGGGAACAAGAAGCAAGTAAAGGATGAGTTGGATCGGATTAAACAGGCTGAAAAAAAAAAGAGGCGCTTAGAGAAAGCCTTGGCTACTTCAGCTGCCATCCGCTCCGAATTAGAAAAGAAGAAACAGAAAAAGAAAGAAGAACAGCAAAAGCTTGATGAAGAGGGTGCTGCAATCGCTGAGGCAGTTGCTCTGCATGTCCTAGTAGGTGAGGACTCAGATGATTCATGTAAGCTTTTGCTGGAGAAGGATGAAGAATCAAACCCATGGGATATTGGTAGCAATTTTGATTTTTTTATGGGCGGATATAGAGCCATGCTTCCTCATCAAGAACTCCCAAAATATTCAGTTGAAGGAACACAGTGGGTGTCTGGTCCCAACAGGTATGGATGCATGTGTGAGCAGGAAAATACCACGTGGATGGTCTCTTCTGTACCTTGGGCAGGGAATGGTCACCATCAATGGTTTGATGTGGGGAATTGGGAGTTTGCCAGACTTTCTGCTGGACTTCTTGCAGCACAAGCTGTCTCATCACTTCAGATTGCAGAAGATGCTCTAATGGACTCATATGTCTTCAGTCGGATGCTGAGAGAGTGAACTGGAGGTCTAACGTCTATCATCCAGTTGGTCGGTACTTTATGAGATGTTTTTTTTTTGTGGTTTCGAATAATTCCATGTATATATATTTCTGATGAACTCAATCCGCATTGTTTTTGACTTTTTATGCTTGTGTCGGTCGTAAGCCTTTAAAATTCACTACATAATTCCTGGATGATTATTGCACTACGAATGTTACATTGTTGTTCTGATTGTGAAACTATAGTATGCTGTTGTTGATGGGAATCCACAGCTTAGATTAATTAGAGATAATCCTGAGGGCATCATCTATTGGGAAATTTGAATTGTCTCTTTGGTAGAAAATTGAGCAAGAAATTGTTCTGTTCGCGTTTTAACTGGTATTGTATCATTTTCTTAGATATATTAAGTTTTGATTTGAAGGTGTTCATGTGGTCTACCCAATGTTGGGCCACACCCACGTTATGATACTCGATGCTCTATATGTCCAGCTCTAGACGCGTAGGGGTTAGAATCTCACGTGTATCAGATATAGTCTTGTTATATAACTTGGAAAATCCTGCTAATTGAGCGATCTTTCTTATGGTTGAATTGGGTCCAACGTCCTTTTATTAAAATCCTCATACAAGACTTATGAACCATTACTTATATGTTGAGGGAAGAAAGCTTCCCTTGCTTCAGCCTTCCAAAACAAGTGATTAGATTTCTCATGGCAAGAGGTTTTGCAGCTTATTATCTAGAGGAGTATAAATGTGGTCTACAGGGTACATGAATATCCATTACAGCTTTTCCATTGTAAAATAGAGGAAAACAAAACAGGAGAAAGGATGGTAAAAAGAAAAGTAGAAATTTATAAAATTACCGTAATGTATACATTCTATCGACCCGAAAGCCCTTTTCCTATCTCAATACACGGACTAATCTATCTTTTCTGGAAGTTAAATGCCTTGGTTGAATATGCAAATACGAAGCCAAAACAACAGAAAATCCAACATGAATGAGGGCTACATATCCCACAAAATCATGTTTGAAGTCAAAGTAACTCTATAAATTGTTCCGCTGTTTCATTGCTATCAAGCTTGTCCTTTATGTCTCCAAACTGTGAGACCATTAGTCCAATAATGTCCAAGATCTAGGACAAACGTAATAGTACCATCTCCACCAAACTGGAATACTCTGTTATAATCCAGATAAAAAAAGGAGAACATAGTTGTTAGTTTCTTTTTTCTTTTTCGGTGTTAAAACAACAGTGTGGAATGAGATCACTCGATGAAAACTTTTAGAACAAATATTAGTAATAGATTCAAATTACTACAATCATTGTGTATACATTTGTTGTACAAAAGAATACTACAATGTAACTTACTGTTTTTGGAATGATAAATCTTGAGAAAAGATTCCAATGTACATAAAATGCAGATGAAACGATGGTGGCAAGGGTATGATTAGGAGTAGCAGCTACTGTCATCATCCCCAAAAACGTAAAATATAGCAAGGTGAAGTACATGAAGAAGAGATACCAAAAGAACTTGGAAAGTGTCCACTCATATCCTATCATGGCATAGACTATACGACTGTCTGGAGGAATAGGTAAGGGAGCTCAATCATAAACTGTATAACCAAAAATATTCCATGAGGCTGGTTAATAGATTACCTTATTTTTATGAAAGGCTGGTTAATATGGACCTGTCCAAAAGCATAAGGTAGAGCAGAATACATCCCCGCTGCCCTTTCCCTAAGGAAAACTGTCCTCTCTATGGAGATAATTGACAGTGTATACGGTTAAAATCGGGACCACCCGATTTTACTATTTGATCAAGACCGGGAGATCGCATCGAAGGATGGCCTCGTAACGGAACAGACTAAACCGCGAGGATAAGGTACCGAGTTCAGAATCGAAGTACCTGTCGAGATCGAGGCTAGTAGCGATCGAAGCCAAATGAGACAGACATCGAGCAAGATCGAAGATAGCACAATAACAGAAAGGCGAGATATCTATGACTGGTTGAGGATCATGGCGTAAATCTCGGAAAGGATCAAATCAGAAACGGTTAATTAGCTAATCATGAGATTTTCTTCTGTAATTAGAATTATACCATAAGTGGAATTCCTCTACTATTTAAGGGGGGGATTCTAATCATCTGTAGGACACATTGTTCACAGATACCAAAGCAATATAATTCTCTTTCTCGTTTATACTATTGTTCATCAGCTTGTTATATTTTAATTGTTGTTGCATCAACCAGTTCGAGGGTATCTAAACTCGAGAGCTGAGTTCCATTCTAACACTGGTTTGCTTTACTTTATAGTTCATTTCTGTTATTAATCTTCATATTTATGAATTGGTATTAAGTGAAATCACGTATCCTTAGAACCACATTATAAGTTTAATTGTTATCCAATTTTAAGGATAAACAGTTTGGCGCCCACCGTGGGGCCAAGGATAATAATGATTGCTTAATACTGATTCTAATAACACACACTGCTTTACACTTATTCTCGTAAGAATCTTTGTTTTCAGGATAAACATGTCAAACTCACAAGCAACACCTACACATGGTGACAACGACCTCGGATTTCACGGGAAAAATGACAATATAGCTGCCCCAGGGATCGAGGCACCTCAGGCTGACCTTGAGGGAGCACCAATTGCAAATCCCATCGATGTCAGTTCACATGCCGCCCTAAATGCAAATTTGGGCATTAATCCCGAAGGTAGCGTATGCAGGGAAGTTCGATCAGGTGGTCGAGGTACGCAGGGCAAAGAAGATGGTGAAGTTAGCCTCCAATTGATATTCGAAATGTTACATGCTCAACAAGCCGCTATAGCACAACTACAAAATCAGCACCGAACACCGAGTAGGATCGAACCAGAAGTTGTCCACAGGACCGAGCCTGTGCCGGAAAGGTCAAACACCAACGAATCGGGGACTGACCCCGCCGTTATGAAAATGCTCAAGGAGCTCACTAAATGGATTGAATCGGGAGAAAAGAAAATTGAGGCAAATGACAAGAAAGTTGAGACATACAACTCCCGGGTTGACCAAATACCGGGGACACCGCCGATTCTAAAGGGTATGGATTCAAAGAAATTCATACAAAATCCTTTCCCTCCAAGTGCGGCTCCGAAACCTATTCCGAAGAAATTCCAAATGCCATAAATTCCTAAGTACAATGGTATTCCCAACCCTAATGAGCATGTCACTTCTTATACATGCGCAATAAAAGGAAATGACTTGGAAGACGATGAGATTGAATCTGTTATACTGAAGAAATTTGGAGAAACCTTGTCGAAAGGAGCAATGATATGGTACTATAATTTGCCGCCTAATTCCATCGATTCCTTCGCCATGCTTGCAGACTCCTTCGTAAAGGCACATGCAGGAGCAATAAACTTTGCGACTAGGAAGTCGGACCTCTTCAAGGTGAAACAAAAAGACAATGAAATGTTTAGGGAATTCGTATCTCGGCTCCAGATAGAACACATGGAACTACCACCGATCACAGACGATTAGGTTGTTCAAGACTTTACTCAAGGTTTGAACAAATGAAGTCCAGTGGCATCACGACAGCTAAAGTAGAATTTAATTGAATATCCAGCGGTAACCTAGGCCGATGTACATAATCGGTACAAGTCAAAGATCAGGGTCGAAGATGATCAATTGGGGACACCTTCCGGTTCCGTTTATCCAAACAGGCCCATCGACAGAACTCAAAGGGATATCGACAGAGAACCCCGGTCGAACAGAGATCGGTACCAACCATACAACGCAGATCGAAGAAACAGCAGTGCAGGACGCAATCCAATCCGAAATGATCGAAGGAACGACCGAGGACATAGCTCTCGAGGGATCATGAGCAAAAGTGGCTTCGATAAACATGCCGATCCCACAAAAGTACCACGATTATCAGAATACAACTTCAGCATCGACGCATCAAGTATTGTGTCAGCCATTGGGAGAATTAAAGATACTAGATGGCCCAGACCCCTACAAACCGATCCATCCCAAAGAAACCCCAATCAAATATGCAAATACCATGGTACACATGGTCATAGAACTGAAGACTGCAGACAACTAAGGGGGGAGGTGGCCCGACTATTCAGCGAGGGTCACCTTCGAGAATTCTTGAGCGACCGAGCTAAAAACCATTTCAAAGACAGGGATACAAACAAGAAAAACGAGCAGGAAGAACCACAACACGTGATTCACATGATCGTTGGTGGGGTCGATATTCCACAAGGGCCTGTGTTCAAACGCACTAAAGTATCAATCAATAGGGAAAAACGAACTCGAGACTACGTGCCAGAAGTCACTTTATCATTCAATGATGAGGAAGCAGAAGGAATATCATAACCCCATAATGATGCTTTGGTAATCTCTATCCTTATGAATAAAATTTAGGTTAAACGTATTTTAATTGATCCAGGAAGCTCGGCCAATATTATTCAATCGAGGGTCGTGGAGCAGCTCGGCCTACAAGATCAGATCGTACCCACAACTTGTATTCTCAATGGCTTCAACATGGCGAGTGAAACAACTAAAGATGAAATCATCCTACCAATAAATGTAGCCGAAACTATTCAAGAAACAAAGTTCCATGTGATCGAGGGCGATATGAGATACAATGCACTGCTCGGAAGACCATGGATTCACAACATGAGGGAGGTCCCCTCAACCCTTCACCAAATGCTGAAGTTCTCAACATCGGATGGAGTAAAAATGGTGTATGGGGAACAACATGCTGCCAAAGAGATGTTCGTGGTCGACGAAGTAATACCGGTATCGGCGCTTTCGTCAACAAAGGGATCAGAGTCCAAAGGAAAACATGAAGCTAAATAGCAACCACAACCACCAGCCTAGGATCAGTCGGAGAACCAGGGAAGGGACGACGACGATGACTACTGGACCCCTCGGTCCTTCATAATCCCCGAGGATTCTGACGCCACCAAATCGACAGTCGAAGAGCTGGAGCAAGTCATACTGATCGAGCATCTACCTAATCGAAAGGTATACCTGGGTACGGGGTTAACTCCCCAGCTCAAGGAAAAACTCATTAAATTTCTTATCAATAATATGGATTGTTTTTCTTGGTCCCACATAGATATGACATGGATCCCGCCGGAGATCACTATACATCGACTGAGCTTGGATCCGAAGTTCCGCCCGGTAAAACGAAAAAGAAGGCCCCAGTCCGAGGTAAAACATGCATTCATCAAGGATGAGGTAGCCAAACTTCTCAAAATAGGATCTATTCGGGAAGTAAAA